ATACTTGGATATCCAATTCCCTATTTGTCACTTCAATCTGACACATTTTTCATGTCCAGAACTAAACTGGTGATTTTCTCCCCAAAGCTTGTTCCACCTGTAGCCTTTTGTCTCTCTGTAGGTGGCAACTCCATCCTTCCAGGTGCCCAGGTCATAAACTTTGATGTCATCACTAATTCTTCTCTTTTTCTCATATCCTACTGTTCCTTCTTCAACATATAACTAAGCTTGGATTATTTCTCACCACCCACACTGCTGCTCTCCTGGTCTGAGGCGCTCATTTCTTCCCTTAATTCATCAATCTTCTGTCCTTGTCCTCATTGTAGTATAGCCTTAATCTATTCTTTGCCTCAGGGTAGAATGTTCTCCACAGCAGAGAGACAGGTTCTTTAAAAGTGTAAGTAATATTGTGTCATTCCTTTTCCCATTTCTCTCAGAGCCCAAGTCAGAGTCTTTACAAGGGCCATTCTGACTCATCTCTTACTAGTTTCTCTCTTCCTCACTCTCCTCCAACTTCGTGAGACCCCTTCCACTTCATTGCCAGATATACTCCCATCTTTGCATTTAAGGACTCCATTGCTAACAGCAATGTGTGGCTGACTCCCTCAAGTGTTTCAAGTCCTTGCATATTACCTCTCACTGAGGTCTATCCTGATCTCTCTCTTAATGCTGCAACCTGCTGCCTCCTATGCTTAGCACTCCTGAACCCCCTTACCCTGCTCTATCTTTTCCTTTTCTCTGGTACTTATCACCCAACATGTTCTGTAAGTTATGTATTACATTTATTGTTTATTATCTTTCTCCCTTTGCTAGAATGTAGGTTCTACAATGGCAGAAATTTTCGTCTTTTTTTTTTAAATTGATTTGCCGTAAGGTTCTAGAGTAGTGTTAAGCATATTGTAGATACCAACACAGTATTTTTTGAATAAATAAAACAAACACAAGTTATGAGATAGCTGGAGTATACAATGCTATAATTAAGACATAATTTGAAAAGTTTTCTATGTGTGCGTGTTTTTTTCTCTTTCTTATAGATCATCTCCAAGGTATAACATGACTTAGTATGGTCAACAATGTCCACTGAAATTTGGGGAGTAATCCACTGTGCTTCCTTGCTCGATGCCATTAGTGTAGGACATTGTCAGTAATTTCAGTGATATATTTTTATTGTATGCACATAGAAATAGCTATAGATTTTATTCATTCATTTGTTTATTCAGTATATTTATTAGTCATCTGCTCCGTACCTGCACTTTTAAGGAAGGAAGTACATTAGAACATAAGGATGGACAATAAGAATAAGAATCTTGACTTAAAGATTGCACATTCTCACGGTAAGAAGCAGGCAGTAAACATACACATATAAATAAGATAATTGCAGGTCCTGACAAGTGCTATTAGAAAAAATGGAACAGGGCAACGGAGCGAAAGTGATAGGATCACCTGGACACCCTCTCTGAAGAGATAATCTTTGAGAAAATTTGATGCTGAGAAGAAGCCAGACACTTGAAATCAGAGGAAAGGGGATTCTAGGTAGAGCGAAGAGCAAACACAAACTCCTTGGGATGAAAATAAGTTTGACCCTTCAGAAACACAGAATGAAGATCATTTAATTTCTAGTGGAGTGGTCAGAGGGAATAATGGTATAAAACGTAGTTGGAGGCCAAACCATGTACAGTCTTATTCACCATCTAAGGAATTTGTCTCCAAAATCCTATTGAGAAATCAGAAATTTCTTTTGGAAAGAGCATGATGGCTGCTTTGAAGAATGGACTCCTGGGGCAGGAGAATAAGCAGGGAGACAAGTTAGGAGGCTCTGATAGAATTGGTGTGATAATGGTGACCACGTAGACTGGCAGAGAGCAGAGAAGATAGTGGGACACAGCCAGATTGAGATTGCATTTCAGAATAACGACTAAGTCTTGCTGTTGTATTGGAGGTGAGAAGTAAGGGGAACAAAGGGATTTAGGATGACTCATGTGAGAAAGACACAGTTTCCCTCGCACTACCAGGTCCCTGGTGTTCAGCTTGTGGTAGGTGTGGTAGAAAGAGCTATGAGCAGTACCTCTGTGCTTGAGTCCTGAGTCTTGCCCTATTCACTCATGTGAAAGATTAGAATACTAATAATAGCAGCACACATTATAGTTGCTAATTATTGAGTGATGTCTATATACTAGATACTCTGCTTTTTCCTCTACATAAAATATTTAACTTAGTCCTGACAACAATCATTCCCCATTTTATAGATGATGAGAAAGGCTCAGAAATGCAGAATAATTTATCTAGAGTCACACATTTAGTCAATGGCAGAACTGGGGTTAAAGCCCTGGGTTTAAACTCGTATTTGTCTGATTTTAAGACCATAGATATTAACCACTGTGCTGTACTGTCTCTCGGAAGAGTAATTCTTTTTTTTTGTCTATTTGTTTGTTGGTTTAGTAATTCTTCAGTTTACAGTTCAAAACACGCTTCACATGTTGTCATTTAATTCTCAAAGAGTAGTCCCCATTCTGATTGATTCTTACACTGCTGCTGTGATATAAGGAAGAATTTTAATTATTTCCATTTTAAAAGATCAGAAAGGTGAAGCTTAGAGGTTACATGAATTCTCAAGGTCACAAATGTAGTAAGTGACAAAGCTGGGAATCAAAACAAAGTCTTCTGGTCCCTACCCCATGATAAATAGCAGATAAGACAATTGACTTAGTTGGATGTTGGTTTCCTGATGGGTAAGTCAGGGAAGGGTAGACCAAGTGGTTTATATTTCATGATCTGCCTTTTTAATAGTCTATGGTTTTAAGTACCACCCTGGCTTTTGTATGTTGAACCACTATTGCTAGGCTGGCTGGGAATTTCCTGACTGCATTCATTCATCACCTGCATTCATTACCTTGCTTCACTTCTAGCCTACACAATTTTGGCTACTTCCAACAATTTTTGGGAAATCACATCAGGGAAGTCACAAACATTTGTGTAGTGACATTCGTTTATAGTTCTTTTGTATTTCTTGTAGTGTCAAACATTGATAGCCACATCTTAGAATCTCATAAAACAATTTATTTATATAAAATGTATTGAGTGGAATGATTTAAAATTATAAAAAGAAGTCTAATACAGGGGCGCCTCTTTGGCTCAGTCAGTTAAGCGTCAGACTCTTGATTTTGGCTCAGATCATGATTGCAGGGTCAGGAGATTGAGCCCTGAGTCGGGCTCCTCACTCAGTGGGAAGTCTGCTTCAGATTCTCTCTCTCTTCCTCTCCCTCTGCCCCTCAACCCCGCTCTCTCTCTCTCTAAAAAAAATAAATAAGTCTCTTTTTAAAGTTTTTTTAAAGATTTTATTTATTTATTTTAGAGAGAGAGAGAGAGAGAGAGAGAGAACACGAGAGCATATGGAGCAAGAGAAGCAGACTCCCCGTCAAGTAGGGAGCCCATTGTGGGACTCCATCCTGGGACCCCAGGATCATGACCTGAGCCGAAGGCAGACGCTTAATCAACTGAGCCACCCAGGCACCCCAAATAAATAAATCTTCTTAAAAAAGAGGTCCAATAGACATATCTGATTATAATTCCATAAACTTTCTTTTTCTTGTCTTTTTTTTTTTTTCATTTTTGAAAGACGGACTGCCACATGCAGCACCTCATTTGGATGTGTCTGGAATCTTGGAAACTTGGCTACCCTACATTCTCCTACAAATGGATGCTGAGAGCTTGTTTGGAGGTTCTAGCATGGGAATGCAGCTACTCATATACCCTTGACTGAAGAATGTTCCTCTTCTATGGGGTAAGTCATCTTTTTCCACCTAGTGTGCAGCTTTGGGAGGGATGCACATTTGGTGGTGAGGGAGGAAGGGGACACCTGCCTAGCCAACCAGATTAGCTGAATCAACCCTGAAGATCAATGGGGTGACAGATGTCACAGTCAGATCACATTCACATCCTACACAGACTTTATTAATTGCTTTTATTTTTACCTTTTCCAATGAATTGCTTTGGTATCATATGTGTATATATATGTATGCATATATATGTATATCCTTATTAAATATGTATATTTAAGGAATTTGGAAATAACTGAAGATAATAGAATAACTGAAGATTTTGGACAAGTGAAATTATCAGAACTGTCATTTAAGAGGATTACTCTAAAGGTCATGTGCTGGTTGATAGAGTGGGAGAGAGAGCGGAGGTAAGAAGATAGGAAGTTAAAAAATAATCTTGGTAAAGTATAAAGAGTTACAAGCAGGGCTCCCACTGCAGGGAAATATAAAGAAAGTGAAAAATAAGATGCAATAGATTACACTGATAAATACACATGCGCGCGCGCACACACACACACACACACTGTTGTATTGCAAGAGTCATTAAACTATCTTGATGAATTTTAAAGTGGCTAGTTTAATTAATATCAGCAATCTAGATGATCCAGAAAACCCTTGATATTTAATAAAGTTATTTTGAACCTGTCTTATGAAACACTAGTGATCACACTTAATTTAGTATAACTTAATTTAAAGACATCGGGTGATCTGGAAAATTGACTCAAATTTTCATTTCATTTGCATGTTTATACACTCTCAGAGTACGTTATAAATGTCATCTTTGGAGGGAGTGTATATGTGAGTTTATCTATGAGTGAGAGGGTGGGAGGTGGGAAGAAGAAAGAGAGGAGAGTTTTCATCTTAGTGTATTGGACTTGTCTTCTCGGTTTTAGCAGTTTTTTCCTCCTGTTGTGTATTTGACCAAATAGTTACTGCCTTTAACTAAGTTCGTAAATCTTTCCTTCCGTCTACATTCAGGTAGAATTAATAATTGTTCTGTATCTGGCAGAGGAATGAAGAGAAATTAAACATTTTTTTTTTAATGAGGGTGATAAATAGGCTTGTTTTGAAGCATTGTGGGAAATCTCCAGGGAGTGAATAGGTCACCAACGGCTTGAGGTGATGTGTTCTGTGTAAAGACTCAATGTGTTCTTACATGCGGTGATGAAATCGTTTACTCACAGGCTGGGTTGACCAGTGTTTCAGCCACTCCAAGCAAAACATACTGAAGAACCAGGTGGAAACAGGGCATGGAAGAAACGGTGAGGACTTTGCCTGAAAGAGGCTGCTCCACTGGAGGGAAGTGTTTTCTGTGTATTTCAAAGAAGCCAGCTACCATCACAGACAACGCAGCAGAAAGATTTCCAGCGACTGCAGGAAAATAATGCAGACAAAAAAGAAAGAAAGAGAAAAAGAAAAAGCCCCAAATCAGTGTAATAGGCCATAGCATTTCTTATACATTGACACTGGGGTATGCTTCCTCAGTGTTTTTTGCCCTGGGAATATTCAGGTGCCAGCTAACTCTGTTATCTGACTATCCTATGCTTTGACTCTGGTCTCTCAGAAACAGCTGTACTGATTCCCTATTTCCCAACTTACTGCATAGAGGGCCTCTGGAAAGTTAGTTAACCTCATGATCACTTTCCTCAGCTCCAAGATGGGGTTAATGATGCTTACCTTTGTAGGGCGACTATGAGACTTCAATAAGTTACTGTCCTGGTATTATTATAACAGCTCCTGGTGGCAATAGGGAGCAATTATTGAAGATAAAGCAATAGTTTTGAATTTTTGTCCTCAGATAAGATATATTATTTTTGATAACTTTTTAAGATTTATATGGCTCAAAAATAGTTTGGGGGAAATGTAAAACAAAGCGATCTCTTCACAAGGTTTTAATCATTTAAAAATGGTTTGACCTCAGTGAGATACCACCACCTCACACCAGTTGGAATGGCCAAAATTAACAAGTCAGGAAACGACAGATGTTGGCGGGGATGCGGAGAAAGGGGCACCCTCCTACACTGTTGGTGGGAATGCAAGCTGGTGCAACCACTCTGGAAAACAGTATGGAGGTTCCTCAAACAGTTGAAAATAGAGCTACCCTATGACCCAGCAATTGCACTACTGGGTATTTACCCCAAAGATACAAAGGTAGGGATCCGAAGGGGTACATGCACCCCAATGTTTATAGCAGCAATGTCCACAATAGCCGAACTGTGGAAAGAGCCAAGATGTCCATTGACAGATGAATGGATAAAGAAGAGGTGGTATATATATAATGGAATATTATGCAGCCATCAAAAGGAATGAAAGCTTGCCATTTGCAACGATGTGGATGGAACTGGAGGGTATTATGCTGAGCGAAATAAGTCAATCAGAGAAAGACATGTATCATATGATCTCACTGATATGAGGAATTCTTAATCTGAGGAAACAAACTGAGGGTTGCTGGAGTGGTGGGGGAATGGGAGGGATGGGGTGGCTGGCTGATAGACATTGGGGAGGGTATGGGCTATGGTGAGCGCTGTGAATTGTGCAAGACTGTTGAATCACAGACCTGTACCTCTGAAACAAATAATACATTATATGTTAAAAAAAAAAAAAGAAGAAGATAGCAGGAAGGGAAGAATGAAGGGGGGGGAATCGGAGGGGGAGATGAACCATGAGAGACAATGGACTCTGAGAAACAAACTGAGGGTGGGGCTCCTGGGTGGCTCATTTGGTTAAGTGACTGACTTTGGCTCAGGTCATGATCCTGGAGTCCCGGGATCGAGTCCCGCATCGGGCTCCCTGCTCAGCGGGGAGTCTGCTTCTCACTCTGACCTTCTTCCTTCTCGTGCTCTCTATCTCTCATTCTCTCCTTCTCAAATAAATAAATAAAATCTTAAAAAAAAAAAGAAACAAATTGAGGGTTCTAGAGGGGAGGGGGGTGGGGGGATGGGTTAGCCTGGTGATGGGTATTAAAGAGGGCATGTACTGCATGGAGCACTGGGAGTTTTGGCAAACAATGAATCATGGAACACCACATCAAAAATTAATGATGTAATGTATGGTGATTAACATAACATAATAATAATAAAAAAATAAAAATGGTTTGAAATAATTTGTATTATCAGTCCTCAGTTTTCTGACATTTCTCTGATCTTTGCTGAGAAATATAGACTAGAAGCTTCTGTTTAGAAAAAAAAATAGTAAAGGTGAATTAGCTAGATAAAGAATATAAATGGAAACAATTATTCAAAAAGTCATCTCACTCTTCTTTTCATTTTACTCTTGAGAAATTATCTAGAAAATTTTGGTTGAAAATGAGTAGGGATTTTGTTATGATTTTGTTACAGTTTATATCCACTGCAACATTCCATTTCTCAGTTTATCATTCATATTATTGGACTTAATCCCATCGTTAGAGCAGAGGCAAACTTGAGCTTGATGGAATTTACTTGAAATTTAGAGATAGTCACATTTTGCTAACTTGCATAAAATTTCAGATAAGGCAAAGCTTTCAATTCAAAAAAATCAATCTAATGTTTAAATAGCTTAGTGTTTGTTTTGGTTGATAGAGAAACTGGTAGGTAAATTTTTTGATTCTATCTCAGTATTTAAATGTATCTGTAAAGTCTGCTCTTTACTGAGTCTCTAAGAAATAGAAGGTGTAAAGAAAAGGGTGGAAATCTGAATAACAGAAAATTTGAGGAATTTTTTAATTAATTTTTATTTGAAATTAGGTTCCATAAAGGCTCATTCAGAGTGGGGTCAAGATTTTGGTTCTTTAAACAGCTCATATAAAAAATTTGAGTTTCAATATTATCTACTTTTAAGATCATATTCATAACATAATTGCATTTATTTAGATTACTTGGCACATTATAGGCTCATCAGAAAAAGAGCTAATATGTCAATTCAATTTAGTATTTACTCTCTTCCTGCTCTATGCAAGGCAGTCTGTTAGGCACAGTTGGAGATATAAGATTAAAAAAATATCTGTTCTCAGTCATTGCAGACTCCTATTGTATTGGGGAATCTAAGAAGAAGAACTTTCTAGCTGGGGAGGTGAGAGAAATAATTTTATGCTTTAAAGAAAGAAGGGTGTCCATATGAAGAGGTGAAGGCAACATCATTGGCATGAGCAAAAGCACAGAGTTGTGAAAGAATCAGACATTTTCAGAATAGTGAGAAACAAGTTATTTGGGCATCGGGGGACAAGATAGATTGGGGCCAGATCATAAGAGCCATTTAATATATTTTTAGGAATTTGTAAATTGCTCTGAAGATAATGGATTCACTGAAGATGTGAGACACAAGTGAAATGATTAGAACTGTTATTTGGGATGATTATTCTAAAGGCCATGTGCTGGTTGATAGAACGGGAGAGATAGTGGTGGTGGGAAGATAGTTAGGAAGTTAAAAAATAATCTTGGGGTGCCTGGGTGGCTCGATCATTAAGCATCTGCCTTCGGCTCAGGTCATGATCCCAGAGTCCTGGCATCGAGCCCCGCATCGGGCTCCCTGCTCGGCAGGAGGCCTGCTTCTCCCTCTCCCACTCCCCCTGCTTGTGTTCCTGCTCTCGCTCTCTCTCTCTCTCTGTTAAATAAATAAATAAAACCTTTAAAAAAAATAATCTTGATAAAGTATAATGGGGGCCTAAGTTATAGTCATGGCTCCCAATTCCAGGAAACATAAAGAATAGGAACTTAAGACGCAATAGATTCCACTGATAAAACCATAGCAAGAGCAAGAAGGAAGCAGATATTAATGTTGAGTATAAGTCCAGGTGACTGGAAAGATGGTAGTGGCAATAATATAAATAAGACCCAGTGAATCATGGAACACTACATCAAAAACTAATGATATGATGTATGGTGATTAACATAACATTAAAAAAAAAGACGCATGATAGGGAGAAAATCAATTTGATTTTGAGTTGAGGTAGAGGCACAAAGAGATAATTTAAAGAGAAGTACTCAGAAAACAATTGAAAATGTGAATCATAGGTCAGAAGGTGGGTTGAGTCAAGAGATAAAGGTTAATGAATCATCCATGGAATAGAAATTTAAGGACAGGTGAAATTAAAAAATGATGGAGAGCGAGGGAAGAGAACATCTAAGCAACACTTTTAAACATATTTGCATTTAGGGGCAAGAAAAGAGCTAAAACCATGAAAGAAAGGTCAGAAAGATAAATAATCTCTAAGGGAGGTTTCCAAAGAGGTGGTTACACAAAACAGAACTTTTGATCTTTCCCATACTTCTTCACTCTTCCCCATCTCCTCCAGTACCTTCGCATACTCAAGGCAGAAATCTGGGGTCCTCTGTCTTTCCCCCATCTCCAAATATATTCTTAAGTTATCCAGATTCTATTTCAAAATATATTGTGAATTAACCTGCTTCATTTTATAGCCACTGCCATCGTTCTAGTCCAAGTCATTATTATTTTTAACCCAGACTATGTGCAATAACATATTTAATGGTCTTCCTGTTTTCACACTTGCCCACCTGTACCCTAGTAAGCATCTAACAGTCAGGGAGATCTTGTATAAATGCAAATTCAGTGTTACTCTTCTGCTTAAATTCCTTCTATAGGTTGGCATACAGTTAAGATGAAATCCCAAATCTTTACCATGGCCTTTATGATCCTATCTGTCCTTATCATCTCACTCTAATTGCTTGCTACTTTCTCCTCTCTGACCATTTTTCAGCCATATTATTTTGTTTTTTCCTGACTATCTTAAATTCATTCCCCCCTTAGAGCCTTTGCTTTGCTCTTCTGAAACATTTTTCCCTACTCTTTACCCACCCACACTCGCCATTGATAGTCAACATATTACTGGAAGTCCTAGCCAGAACGGTTAGGCAAGAAGAATAAAAGGTATCCAAACTCATCAAGTTGTGTACATTAAATATGCACAGCTTTTGTAGATCAATCATACCTCAATAGAGTTCTTTTCATTATTTTTTAAAAAGATTTTATTTATTTATTTGCCGGAGAGAGAGAGAGAGGGAGAGTACAAGCAGGGGGAGTGGCCGGCAGAGGGAGAAGCAGGCTCCCTGCTAGGCAAGGAGCCCAATGCAGCATTCAATCCCAGGACCCTGAGAATAGAGTTTTTTTTTTTTTTTTTAAGAGACTTATTTTGGGGGCACCTGGGTGGCTTAGTTGGTTAAGCGACCAACTCTTGATTTCGGCTCAGGTCAAGATCTAAGGGTGGTGGTATTGAACCCCGTGGCGGGCTCCATGCTGTGGGTGGAGCCTGCTTGGGATTCTGTCTCTCCCTCTGCCTCTCCACTCCAACTTGCTTGCATGCAAGCGTGCTCTCTCTCTCTCTCCCAAAAAAATTTTTTTAAAGAGACTTATTTGGATTATTTTAGGAGTTGAAT